TGATGGGAACATATTGAACCCTCTTCAGCTCTGGTCATGTGTGGCATTCCTCAGGGCGGCATCCTGGGTCCAATTTAGTTCTTCAAAACCGCTGTATTACTGCACAAAATGTGTATGGGAAAGTGTATCATCTAATTTTATGAGATTTGAACTCTAAGAGGAAATGAAAAGGCATTTGAGTTATCCGGGTTATACTCAAGGTGGAATTCATCTCTAGTTCTCAGTTGAGAATTTTAGACCGTAATTTATCATATATGACCCCAATGAAATACAAAAGGGTCTGGTATTGAATAACTGCAGCCAGGGAGTGAGTTCGGCACCGATCTCAGTGGTATAACATTGCAAAAATGGTGTTTACGATATTCAACCCATATTGTAGACTGAGAATCCAGGCAGCAGTCCTGCAGAATGAGTGCAGCTGTAAATATTCACAGCTTCACACCACCCTCTTTAACATATTGTGGTGCAGATGAAGAAATCCACTGAAGGAGTGTGAAAAATGTGCTGGGACAGACCCTCTGATGGCTGAGTGAGAGAGAGAGAGAGAGAGAGAGAGAGAGAGAGAGAGCATATTATTCACACAAACAAGAATAGACACACTGAGAACTTTAAAATGCTTCTTTATTTCAACATTCTTGGAAGGAGTTGCTATTTCTGTAGTCGCCAACACAGTGTAACATGTATCATTTCCACAAACTCCATTGTCCATATTTCAAATTTTGATTTTATAAATCATACACTGATATATTTTTTTTAACAATCTGCACAAGCATTACATGGCAAAGCACTTTAAATATTAGTGGAGAAGATGGTTTCCAACCTCAGTTACTGGCATGATCCATAAAACAGCAGGCTTTTTTACTTAAGAAAGACTGAAACAGAGATCAAATAAAGTTTTAATTGTGATAAACTGAATAATCGCTCTTAGAAGTTGAGCCAGTCTGCCTTTTTTCAAAAGGAGTTTGGTTTTCTCCAACCAAACTTTCACTCATGTGTAACTGATAGTCATGACAATTCAGCCATGGAGTATTAGAAAACCCACAGATAGTATTCTATTCATTAAAACATGAACCTATTTTTTTTTTACACAAGATCCTTGCCCACTGTTAGGAAGATATTAAGAAGTTACTATAGTAGTTTTTATAATACTCTATATACCAAACAAATTGGACCACAGTTCACAAACGACGGCCGCAGGTTTTAACGACAGGGTGTTTATGAGGGAGTAAACAGCAGCGATATATGAGGAAGATTGGATGGGAAGCATCTGTTACAATCTCTACAAGCTCCTTATTAAAAGTTCTGTAAAAGCTGCTTATAAAACACACAGAATTGGGATCGGGAGGATATACACACCATTGTTACTGAAGTCTGAAATCACATGGTGGAAATGTTAAGGTTTATTAGTGACTTCCTGTAACTTGGATTAAGCCAGGTTTACATTAGTTTATTTGTTTATTTATTTATTACAAAAATCCACACACTGTAAATCATTGACACAAGTTCTGTCAGTGTCAAATTTTTTTTATTTTATTAAAATCTCCGGACACTGCTGTGGCACTCATCTAAAAGCCACCACAAGGAGAAATGCAAAGGATGATACAAAACTCACTGGACAGCTACATATATATATAGTTCTGGTGATGGTGAAACGTGAATGAAATATCCATCCATCCATCCATCCATCCATCCATCTTCCACCGCTTACTCCTTCTTCAGGGTCGCGGGGAACCTGGAGTCTATCCCAGGAAGCATTGGGCACAAGGCAGGGTACACCCTGGACAGGGTGCCAATCCATCGCAGGGGTGAATGAAATATAACAATGGACAGAAAACATATCCTTATTACCTCAAGATCACGGTGAACAATGCTTCTGCCAGTTGACAGAGAGCCCAGACTAGAAGCAGAATGTAGTCATTTTATTTAATCGCAAATTTATCCTTAAAGGATCTTCATAGACATGGAACATGGAGAACATGTGTTATCACACTATTTTAAAGGACAGCAGAGATTGCACAGTCTAAAATTAGGGCTTTGCTCAAATAGTCATAGATGTTCATTAGAGCACCTTAACTGCTCAGCTATCACTGTCATGTGTTTCTTGCACTCACCAGAATACAGCTTCTGGTAATATGTAATACTCAGTCATCACTCTTTCCTAATCTAAACTCTATGACTTGGGATCTCTTATTTACAGATATGAAATGGTTTTGTTTTCTGAATAATTGGGATCTTACTGAGTTTTCTTCAGCTCTGGCCATTTGTGGCATTCCTCAGGGCTCCATCCTGGGTCCAGTTTAGTTTTCCAAAATCACTGTATTGGGTTTGACTGACATTTCTAGACAAAATGTGTTGTGTGTGTGTGTGTGTGTGAGAGAGAGAGAGAGAGAGAGAGAGAGAGAGAAGAGAGAGAGAGAGAGAGAGAGAGAGAGAGAACATCAATGGTTAACAATATGAGATTACGGATATAAGTGCTTTGTAGAGGAAGTTAAAAGGCATTTTGCCTGTTTTGAGTCATCCAGGTTATTTTGAATGTCTCATTGCAGTAAATCAAGTCCAACAGGACTCATCAGTTATGATAATTTATCTGAAATGTGTTCTTGATATTATTCAAATTATGCTCATATGGTTATAATTATTACGAGCTCTTTATAGCTTAAAGGATGAATGATGGATGGCGAGATTGAGATTTTTCCACCATGTTGAACTCCAGCCTAGATAGAGTAGATAGTGATTTGCAACCCATGGCTCTGAAAGCACTCTTTCACACCGAGCAGAAGAAGGAGTCTGTCTTTGTCACATATACAGTAGAGCAAACTGAAGTTCTTTTCTTTGCATCTACCAGCTTGTTAGGAAGTTGGGGTCAGAGCACAAGGTCAGCCATGATTTGCACCGCTGGAGCAGATACGGTTAAGGCCCTTGCTCAAGGGCCTAACAGTGGCAGCTTGAGGGTGCTGGAGCTTGAAAGATCAAATTTACGGTGGGAGGAATTCCTTCGGGAGCGGGTGGGAGTGTGTGCACACCTTCGCTTCATGCAAAGTGATATCAAAGTGATTCCTTTCCATTAAAGCAAGAGGGGAAAAAAGGACTTTTCCCAGCGTTGGCTTCCCAGTAACAGAAGAACTGGCTTCATCTATTCTTAAGTGTTTTTAGACTCACAAAGTATCGCTTGCCTCACTTTTTTTTCCACCTCCCAAACTAGTTGATATGCTATCAGTGGTGACTGGTGAATGTATTCGTCAACAACTCTATGCAACGCCCAGCACATGGTGGACAGCTCACCTTCAGATAAACACTCCACCAAGCTGTTTGTGTTCACTCTCAGCTGTTGCTTTTCTGCCAGTCCACTTTATTTTCCCGCATATATAAGACAGATCGTGCTCATCCTGTACAGAAACCCAACACAGATGTGCTTGTTAACATCAAAGACACGTTGTGGCTGTGTGGCCCGAGCTGAACTCGGCTGGTGTGTGAATGTTGGATTGGATACAGTCAGAACGACTGATGCAAATTTAAAGCGAATATTGGTCTAGATATCTGTTTGTGTCCTTAATTACATGAATGAATGTGTGTGGGTTCGCGAACAAACCAGTTGCATGGGGAGAAAAAAAAAATACAGAAGTGCTGCCAGTAATCGGATTTTTCCTGAAACCCTGACTCTTGCTATGTACAGAGAGTTTTCACTTAGGGTTTTAGCATTGCTAATGAAATATAGGCACTAATGTCATTGTCATGTATGTGTTTTTGATATGGAAAAGCAGTACATGACATTTAAAAGAGAGAGAGAGAAAGAGAGAGAGAAAGAGAGAGAGAGAGAGAGAGAGAGAGAGGGAAAACATACCATTAAAAAAAATCTCAAGGAAATGTCAGATGCTAATAGCAGTGTCGTGCCTTTCACTAATCTATTTCAGCTGTTTACTCTGAGCCTCATTACAGCATTTAAAGCAAGCAAATATTGTTCTTGTTCCTCTAATCTTTCCATGTAGCCAAGTGAAGACAAATCAAAGACTAGGATCCATGGCAAACCTGATATTAGCTCATCTTTTTTGAATGCATTCAATTTATTGGAGCTTGTTAGAAGACAATATTCAGACCAATGGAATCTCAAGCTATTCCCTCGTAACAAAGCACATGGAAATGAGAAGCACTATAAAACACTGTGAAGCGGTTCTGTAGACATACGGACTAATCAGACCTAATTACACAACACAGGAAAGGAAAGAACGGAAACCCGTATGAATCGAGGTTAAATTGGGACCGATAACTAATTGCTATTAGCACTGAACAGAAGTTGAATTTCCTTATAAGCTGATCTTTGAGATCAGATCTGTTATGAGGCAAATAGCGACCAAGCTCTGCGTGTGGAAACGCTGGATATTAGCACGAGGTCAGAGCTGACAATTGATCCCTTGATAGTTATAATGCAACTCTTTCGTCTCGTATTGAAAGTGAAGGAAAGAGAGATTTGTCGTATGAAGTGAGAAGGGATGGAGAGAAGTTCTCCCAATCTAAGAGGTGCTTTTCCATCCAATGAGCTTTTAATCAGGCAGATTGTATTTGAATCTAAAATCTGATTATTATTCGTGGAAATGATCATATTCACGTTATAACCCCTTGTGTTTTTTTTTTTGTGTGTAAATGCTGTTTGGAGAAAGAGAAAATAAGTGACACACATAAAGACTTAGTGTAAGTGAGGCATCCAGAACCATGTCACGAGTCCCAAAATTGAAAGTAAAGCCATTTTAAGTACACTTCGTGTCTTGCAGATGAATCGTGAACGTATTCACTGTTGCCTGGAAACTGACTAAGCTAAAAGGTGGTAGCTAATATGTAATGAGAATGAGTCTTCATTGGTCACGTATAACATTACAGCACAGTGAAATACTTTTCTTCACACACCCCAGTATGTTAGGAAGTTGGGGTCAGAGTGCAGGGTCAGCCATGATACAACGCCCCCTGGAGCAGAGAGGGTCCTTGCTCAAGAGCCCAACAGTGCGGCTTGGCAGTGCTGGGGCTTGGACCTACGACCTTCCGATCAGTAACCCAGAACCCTGACCACTAAGCCATCACTGCCCCGATAATGGTAGCTATATGTAATATATAGCTATACCTGTATATAGTAAGCTATTTTAGCATGTTAATACAGAGTAAGAGAAAGAAATGAGTATATGATCAGGTAATGTAGTGTGTTTGCACCTTAACCAAAACTCATTTTGCTACATAAAAGATATTACTTGAGTCCAGCTTCATTTCCTCGTAAAATGTTTAACTGCGATGTTATACGGTGTGTTGTTGTGCTATTGCAGGGGAGTTGTATACAAAACAGCTGTGCACTGGACTTTATTTTGCTCTTCGTCAGTTTTTCCGCACACCTGGACGCTCTTGATGAGTAAGAACCCTTCTATTGATCACCAGTGTCGAAGACGCATCAGGCTAAAGTGATTTAAAGTGCTTTAAGTTTAAGGAGACGTACCGAATGAAAAGATGTTGTTTTTTTTTTTAATCTCGGAAATTTATTCAGCAAATGAATTCAGAATTATTATTATTTTTTTCTATTTCTGAAACGTACATGTCCACAGGTCAGGTAAGTATACAGCTAACATAAACCAATGAGCTTTTAATCCGTCAAAACATATTTAAAACCGTGCATCATCGTGAGTATTCATACTGATCTGAGTTCTAACCTCTTTTAACCTCTGTTTCAAACGTTTTCTCTTTCTCTGCTTGAGGGAGAAACGACAAGAACCAGACACAATGTGAACGAGATCAAGAACCCAGAGCCCAGTTTACTGAGGTCCGATCTATCCTGGTTGAAAAGCCGCTGAACCATTTGTTCGCTCTTTCATATTTGTCCTCCTTCCTGACAGGCATCTTGAGCTGCCACTCATGTCTCTTTCCATCCCTTGAGCTTTGATCAGGAGCTATGGAGACCCAAACCGAGACAAACCACAGGCCGAGCGTGCGGGCGTGTGACACGGCGGCTGCTGCAGAGTGTGTGTTCATTTATCATCGTTATACAGTGGCTTTCATGAAAAGGAAAAGGCAGCGTCTTAATCAGCTCTCAGGCATTAGTTAGACCCAGATGTCAGAACACACACACGCACACACACAATAAGTAATTGGACAAATCAAAAACAGAATTTTCCTCAAAAACAGAGTTTAAAACACGAGGAAGATGAAATGGAGCATATTTCATCATGATTGAGAAATACCTGCAGACAGGAGCTACTGCTCAAAATTAAACACCCCCCCATCTGTCACTCAAACCTAAATAAAAGCTAATAAAACACCTGGCTTGTGTCAAGCGAGTATAAACAGCTGTACACATTCATTTCCTGTCCTTTAGCCACGAGCAGTCTTAAAGGAGTCTATAAAGGGTATTAGGAGCTGTTTATCATCATCTTGTTTAGATAATTCTACAGTAACTGACCACAGTTCATCTTATTTGTTATTAGCAAACATTTAAGCAGTAGTTACTATACAGGAAATCATTTTAGAAGAGTTACATATTGACCTGAATTGTCAAATAAACACGTGTACTCTTTCACAATTATATTTTCATGCAAAAAAAACAACAACCCAAAACAACAACAAAACAACAACAACAACAATACACAAACATAGGACTTTTATTTTACTTGATCCATGTACACATTGTAAATCTGAAAGAATTCCCGTGGCCCTGAAACGCATGCGATGCATGTATCCAAACTGTGAGATAAGTTCATCGTGTGTAAAAATCACACATGGAATTAAAAACACATGAAAATGTGTCCAGCACATTCTCTGAAACTGAGCACCTTTGATGAAGGCGTTTAAGCTCCGCCCACTTCACATTCACTCCATGTCATATACTATTCCTGAAATGTTGTTTCCTGATATATGACAGTGTTTGTGTCATTATGATACACTTGGCGATAACCTTTATAACCATTATATACTGCACTTGCTAGAGTGGAAACACATCCAATCACATTTTAAAACCATTTACCTCCAAATCTGTTTTTTTTCTTTCTTTCTTTCTTTCTTTCTTTCTTTCTTTTCTATATTCAGAAGGAAACATCTGTGGATCTAAATAACCGTCTTATACCTACGCACAACAGTATTACAGAGGAATTTCCCAAAATGTTGGTAATTGTTGGATTGTGATTTGATGATAACAGCCCCTTGTGCCACAAGTCGACCCCCCCCCAAACGCCAATGTTCTGTAAACGTCTTTCTCTTCCAAGTGGAATAAACATTTTCATTCTAACGTCATCCAAAAACTAGTTTTTGTGTTTTTTTTTTGTTTTTTTAAGTATGCAAATGTATGAATATTTAATTAGACGAAGCCTTATTTGCATATGAGTCATTTTTCAACAAAACTTGTAAGAAATATTAGCAATCAACTGGCAATCTTTACCCTTTGTCGTTTCAGACAGTTTGGAATAACAGACAAAGTGTGATTTTGGCCAGCTGGAGGAAGAACTGATTTAGACATACAAGAAGAAATCTGGATGTGTTGCTAAATCTGACCACAAGAGGGCACCGAAATTCTTTAGTAAACAAATCGAAAAAAAAAAAATCCTCTGGTAAAAGTTGTAAATTCTTCCAGTTAAAGTAGAAATATGTAAACTCAAAGTATGAAAATGAAAGTAGAATAAAGATTGACAAGAGAAGAAAAAAAAAAGATGTGGACCTTCAGTAAAACATTACCTAAACATTAGCTGAGTGTACTAGTGTGTATTTCGGAATATGTACACTGATCAGTCATAACATTAAAACCAGCTGCCTAATATTGTGTAGGTCCCCCTTGTGCTGCCAAAACACATGGACCAAGGCAATTTGTGTGGGATCAAACCAGACGGATTAGCCTTCGCTCCCCACACGCTTCAGTGAGCCTTGGACACCCATGACCCTGTCGATGATTCACCGGTTGTCCTTCTTTGGACCACTTTTGATCGGTACTAACCACTGCATATTGGGAACATCCCACAATACCGGCCGGTTTGGAAGACCCAGTCGTCTAACCATCACAATCTGGCGCTTGTCAAAGTCACTCATATCTTTACGCTTGCCCATTTTTCCTGCTTCCAACACGTCAACATCAAGAACTGACTGTTCACATGCTGCCTAAAATATCCGACTCCTTCACAGGTTCCACTGTAATGAGATAATCAGTGTTATTCACGTCACCTGTCAATGGTTTGGTGGACAAACAAGTCCGATCCAGGATTGAAAGTATCTGCTACTTCTTGGTCTTGGTGCCAGATATCACACACACCTTCAGAGGTCTTGTGGAGGCCATGCCTCGGCGGGTCAGAGCTGTTGTCACGGCACAAGGAGGACCTTACACAATATTAGGCAAGTGGTTTTAATGTTCTGGCTGATCGTTGTGTGCATATACAATCACATTCACACTAATTATTGTACTTTGAGTATATTATAAATGTACAAATACAGTATACTGTAAATATAATATAATATAATATAATATAATATAATATAATATAATATAATATAATATAATATAATATAATATAATATAATATAATATAAGTGCATTAAAAATATTCATTTAGTACTTTACTGTGGTTTTTTGCATCTCACTTACATACAAAACAGTGAGATGTAGTGATGAAGGTTTGAAGTTTTGTCGTTTGTCTCACAGGAAATCTCAGCAGCGCATGATTCAAATGCGAATAACATTTCTGATCAGTCAGTGTGGAAGATATTTGTGGATTTGCTTGTCCAGCAGGTTGAGTTGAGTAACCGGACTTATTAATGGAAGCGTGGGCCATTACAAAAATGAAATGGCTCAGATTCAACTGTGATTGAAAGCAGTGGTTGGATGAGAAGAAGATCTGCCAGCGCTGCAGTTTAACCTTCTACCTCATTTTCTGTAGTAATATGTAGCGGATCAGCCAAGATATGTTTTCTAAAGTTTTCTTAGTTGTGCACCAGAAATACTAGCCACCAGATTAGCATTGAGCAAAGTACATGTGCGATGGGTCTGGGGTCCTGTGTGTCCCCCCCCCAAAAAAAAAGTATGGGGAAAAAAAAACACGGCACAATCATTAACAAAGGAGTGTATTGGATATGTCATGGCACCGTATGACGCATTTACGACCTTCCTTCATTCATCTTCAGTATCTGGTATTCAGCAGACTGAAATTGCTGCGCTAGAAGACGCAAAAAAACCGACAGAATCAAGACCAAGAACCACATGAAAGAGGTGATTTAAGATGCTTTGAATGCTGACCACCTTTGCAGTAATGCGCATAAGAAAACGTGATGCGTTAGGCTGTGTAATGCGTTGTAATGTGCATCCACTGGATGAATGTGTGAGTCTCCATTATTACATGTGAACAAGAAAGCCATCTCCCTGCGCACGAGTCAAACACACCAGAGAGCTGATGTGTGTTTCTGCCCTAATGGCCATCCATTACAGCGTATCAGACAGGCCATTACAAACAGCTCTGCCTGCTTTCTCACCCATGACGCACGTTTTGGCATTTACGTGCGGTGCAGGAAAGCTTGCTGGATAATGAATGATAGTAGAGATTAAAAGCTTGATGAATCGTCATGTTAAAATGGGATTCTTGACTACTAGATCTTATCTCTGAAGGCAATAACATGCCACGTGAAGGCAGCGTACGCGTAGATTTTGTATTTGGATACAGATATGAACTAGATGTTTTTTTTACAGTCCGGGTTTCAGAGGATATCGTGAGCTTCTCTTTTACCTTCAGTGGGTTTTGGATGCTTTCATGAGCAGGGCTGTTTTTAGCAGCATCTCTTAACAGTGCTGCTGAATTCTTGATTCTGATTGGTCAGAAGGTGTTGATTAATTTTCAGTAACGGTGTTTCTGACAGTAGTTCCACCTGTAATTCAAATCACAGGTTTATGTTGATGCGCTATTTGAAAGCCGTATGGAGGATACTCCACGGCAAAATAAACAAATAAACAAATCAATCAATAAATAAAAGTGTTTTCATTTAAGAAAGAAAAATGGTTGATTATGGTAATGCTTTATCTAAGAAGACATTATTTACTGTAACACTGATGAAAGGAGCGCGTTGTAACAGTGAGTA